CTTGACCAGCTGCGAAAGATCGATTTGCACATACATTAGTGCTTTCGACGGACGCTTGTTTTTATGTTTATATCACAAACACTTTATACCAGTACGTTTACATACCAATCGAATAAAACAATAATCAGATTCTCTTCAGTATAAGCCCAATACTTGTTTCTCAGTTGGGTACGTTGCACATTGGTACTGTTGCCGACTAATGGTATTCGTTCTTTTGACTGGTTTTTGCGAAATCCTAGTGTCATCTTCACGATCACCTCTTGTTTGTCTGTGAATAATGTTCAGCACTGTTACAGAGCAAATCGAATCATCGCATTCCCCGATTACAAAACACTATGATTACTATTCGTTCTCGTGATTAGCTGCTGGATGTAGCGGAGTTTGGCGTCTGGTCGTAAAGTCAGTCTTCCGGCGGGCACTCGAAGACCGCCCGCTGATGACGATAATGTGGAAGAACAAAAAAACCAGACCTCGAGGCCTCTGAAAAGCACTCACGTGTTCGTTCGTCTAATAAAGTATCATCATTCGGACTGAATATCCCATCCTTTGGTACTTCCAGTTAGATCTGAAGAGTAGTTCCAGGAGTTGAGTCCAAATATCTGCGACAGATGTACGCAATTTCTCCGATTGATCATCCGTAAGAGATCGCAGTGATATATAAAATTGATACCATTGAATCTCTAGAAGGAACGCTGAGCATATTTGCTGCGGAAGATGACATATAGTTGTGTCTAGAGCCCACGCTCCGCAGACCTTGCCGTCCTTGTCGTGATCACAGAGGGGGACTTTCGGCACGGGCAATGTTTCTGTGCTCTTTCATGTAACGCCCTGGTGATGTGTCAACGGATTTTCACTGAAAGTTACAAAGATAGGACTACCTCTGAGCATCTCTTGTAGTCCCGAACCTCTCGAATTGCGGGTCTCTGTCATTCCAATTTGTGCCCAGGCCACACGAAACAAGAAACGGGTCATGACGAGATAAATCAACTACACGCGCCTGTAATGAGTTCGAAATCTGTGTCAATGAATTGATAAAACACACTACTTGATTTAAAACTGCTCATGGATATGACCTTAGTTTCGTAACTGGTGATAGTTGAATCAAACGAGATGAGCCTTGTCATTGGGCATGCAGCCACCAACGTATTTGTTGTATCTGCCCAGGTCTCCGGATATGATTGGAGTTGAGACACAGACATCAATGTTTCCTGTCTCGGCTTGATTGTACAAGTATTGTTCATGCTGACCAATGTTTGAACCGTCAAGCCAGCCTGACGGTGTAACTAAAGACGGTGCGTCAAGAAGAGGATAGCGTGCGACGTGAGATGACGACCAAAAATCAGGATGCATGTAGAAAATGTGCTCTGATCATTGGTGAGAAGGGGTGAACACTGCACAATGAGCCCACGACACGTCGCATGCGCTACGACGAAGAGGTAATCAGTCGTAATACGCAAAGTTTATTGAAAGGCCAACAATTTGTCCACTGAAGAAGATGCACAACATAGAATAGCTGACGGTTGACACACTTTGTGTCGTTCTTTGTTATCGATACCAGTTTCCCGCAAGGATTCCGGAAACTTTTACATTGCGACGCGGCGCATTATGCTATACTTAGGCAAAAACGATGGTTAGAGTAAGGAGGGACCACAGGCACGAGATATCGCTGTGTAATTCGTACTGTTTCGCGAATTAGAGATGATAGTTGTTGGACTGGAGAGGAACGCGTAGCGGCCCGAATTATACCGAGGTCCGAGAGAGAAATACGGGCCGGAAATCGAAGCTCTTCTTCAACTTGTTCCACCACCTTCGCGTATCGGAGCATAGTAACTATCTCGATCCTGGCAGTGGCACTTACACAAGATCTGTTATTGCCACAGGAATGAGTCTGAATGACGTTTTTCACACCACAACCGTCAGACGGCGTCAAGCCTCAGAGCGACCATCTGCTGACTGGAAAGGGAGCTCGTCCGATAGGACTGATGAGGGTCGGACGAGAATCGAAGAGCAGTCATACAGAGAAGCTTTGAATGCACCCGCTGGAGCGCTTTCAACGGACGTTCCCCAGGCATCCCAGGTATCCCAGATTTTCTGTTTCGGAACCATCGGATTGTTCTTTATGACGGACATCAATCGCAAACTTTGCTGAATATTTCCAATGTTCCTCGAGGGCAATGTATGGTGACTCTTTCTACTAATCTGTTTGAATAGCCATTGATTAGAGGCCCCATCTTTCGGATATCTCCGAGTCCGTAACGTGTGCAGAAGAACATCATAGTGTTGTAACGCACAAACAGCGCCCGGGTGTTGATCTCTTCTCAGATTTAGGCGTCACCGAAAGCATGATGGTCGACGAACTTCGGTGCCATGCTACCCCAAGTGATCCGCGTCTGGGGTATCCGAATTTGTCTGCGATGCGAGTTGCTAGCGTTGGTCTCACTCTACACCTCTCTATGTTGTTGTAACTCGTCTCACCGAGCTTGTAAAAGCGCAGCATACCGGTTCTGCCTGCGCCTCCGTTCTTGATCTGCAACTGCTGGCCGATCTATTGACGTTGTGGTGATACCCTTCGAGAAACGGCCTGTGCTTTCTAACTGCATCTATCCTTGCCATGCGGGGCCTAACTTCCTTGACAGCGGAACGACCCAAGGAAGCAGGATTCCTGCGCACTCGCCTTTCCCGAATCCATCCGATGTGCTAGATAGTAGAGCCATTCGCCTCGTTCCTCGAAGACATCCTCTTGTCGATCTTCCAATTCCTGAAACTCCCGGTAGCATTTCTCGGAACTGCTACCCTGGTTATATATCACATTGGCCGTTACTCGGTCTGCATGTTGCATCCAAGCACAAAGATGAATCAACGTGCTGGGTGCAGTATTGTGTCTGGATACGATGTCACGAACTCCCACTCATATTCCGCCATCAGGCAGTGGTTAGACAACGAGCCAAGATGGTATGGGGTTAAGAGTTGTTCTAAGCCAGGGTCGTCCTTGTTTTCTGAGAAGAATAGTCCTTCCTTCGGCTACAATGGCTCGCGGTGACTGTTCACGCATGGAAGATGGAAGGAGGGTACTCTCTGCCGCAAGGAATACCTCGAAGGATCGAGGAGTGCTAGCCGACGGGAGACCCAGGCCTTTTGTCAGTATATCTTCTCTGTTCCTTCGTGTGTGCATACCTTGGTCGTACATGTATGCATAGACTGAGAAGGCCTTCATTCGAAAGTCTCAAACAATGACGTAATATTCATCGAAACGACAGTACAAATTAAAAGGGTAAAATCAAGTACTAATCTATTCAGAGTTGAAGGCGTAAAGGACATAAAATCTGGGGTCATTTTGAAGCATCAATGTGGGGGTAGGAAGAATGGAAGGAAGAAGTCGAACAGCCTGCGAGAATCAAGCGACTTGGGACATAGGCGCATCCCTAGCCTTGGCCAGAGGCAGAGTATTCTCTCTCAGTCCTCTCAATGCCGAGAAGGACACAATCGCCGAAATGAGAGTGAACAAGAACGCGAACCAGGGGATGATTCCGAACCAGAGGACTGGCACAAAGATGAGCCTCAAAGATACAATACTGACGGGATGGAACTTCTTACTGAAGTGAATGTGCCTGTACAGAGGGTTGACTCCAAGCGATGCTGCTAGCCTCGAGGCAGCGTCTCTGTGGGTACAGCAACACCATCTTTCCATCCCCAGATCTCTACGCCCTTTCGGCGCACCGCGTCAGATACTGGAATCTGGCAAGCGAACAGTGCGACGGTAAGGAACGTGAAGACGTATGCGTGGAAAGAAATAGACTTTCTGCTCGTAGCACCTGAGCCGACGAACAAACTAATGACGGCGGCGAGGGAGTACAGGGCCGTGATAACACAGAAAACTTCGGAAGCTATGGCAGGATGGACGACACCTATACTCTCACATTAAATTTAGCTGGGCGATTACGATATACTGAACATACTGTTCGTAACGAGTCTCAGAGTGATTCCAAGCGGTGCGACTGATCTCCGGAGGAACGACTTGAGCTGGTTCTGCTTCACTACCGTATTGAGACCGATGGAAAGGCTGATAGCGCCCCACGCAAATGCCATGGCGTACGCCCCCAGACGAGCAAGAAAGAGCGGTGCTGGTGTGGGTCCCATTTCGATACGGAGGTAGGAAGTCAATGGTTCGGCAGCGAACCCCGCAGGCTTTTATACGCCAGAGGGACCCATGGGGAGCGGGGAAAGCGTTCTGGACTAGTCTAGACAGGGGGTCGAGAATGCGGGGGCGGGTGAAGAATAACCGGAGCCCAACTACAGGCCGGTAAAAGATGGTCATTCATCTATCCAAAAATAAGGTAATTTTGCGAGGTTTTGGTTATATCGTGGTTCTTCCGTGGGGGGATAAGAGGTAGAGTTCACGGTATTCGAAATGGACACTTGCTCGTGTCCCAGTCTTCCTCCAAACTTCGTTGCCGTTGCACTACGAAGTCGCGTTAAGAGTTGCGGCGACCCCAGGTGAACGGGCCTCGAACGCTGGAACCGAAGAGTTATCTGAAAACAAGAGTCCTCGCACGCCTTGTGGACATCTCTGGCGGCAATTTGGAACATACAGTGCTCGGAGTAGGCTTACTGATGCCATGCAACTGAGTGGGAGCATCCGAGCCGCCAAGGGTTCAGGATCATAGACGAGCGCGTTCGCCTGCTTTTTGGGCACCTTTTAAGGATCATTTCCAATTCTTTGAAAGTCGGAAGATCCTGATGCAAGGGGCCAAATTGAACGAATGACAGGTACGGCGCCAGTATGGTGAACATTTCGAGATAGTAGTTAACGATGTGGTCGTAGGCTAAGTTGAGACGTCAACGCAGGAGGAAGGCAGTAACTTAGGTCGCCGCGGATGTTGGGCTCGGATATACCGCTGGCATGAGATTGCAATCCGCCAACGGTGACGAACCGTTCAATTTTCAGGGATATAAAGGAAGTAAAGCAGTAGGAGTCAGTTATGAGAAAGGCCAACATGTATGCCCCCGTTGTCTAATGGCTATGACGTCAGACTTCTATAATTTGTAGTGTGTGCTAATCTGGAGGTTGCGGGTTCGAGTCCCGCCGGGGGTTGTGGTGGCGGCAGTGTCTCATTTTTAAAGATTGGACTTATCATCCGGGGATAGGGTTGTGCACGAAATCTCCAGGGGGGTTTGATACCGTTTTGTACCGACCCTCCCTGGTCCCCGGACCGGGGACCAGCAAGGTGCCGGGTGGATCTGGGTGGTTGTGGGTTTACGTCTGGACACAATGTGGTGTTGAACTCCCCTCGCCGGAGGGGATTGATCAAAGTAAATTATCAATTATCTGTATTGTGATGTGAATTATTTAAGCAGCATCATAATCGGTTCTATTGGATTTATATTTCACCTATAATTATAATGTAAAACAAAGTACTGTAGCGATGTTCAAGGGATTATACACCAGGAGGCAGAAACCGTGGAAAATGACGTGAGGAGGAAGATACTCGAAAGAAATTGCAAATGTTACGCGTCGGCCTTCATGTGATCAGTTACTGTATCAACACACAGATACACCCCCCTTGGGGAGGGATCAGAAAAACAAGTATGCTACCCCCATGCCGGCGGGCCGTAGCAAGCACGTATTTCCAGATATGCCATGAATTTCGTGAGGAGTGGATTGGTATGTGGGCAGAACCAGAGTGATGCGGGTTAGAGAGCGCCTTAATAAGTTTCGTAGTATGCATTTCGACACTCCAAAGGAGGGTATAAGTGCATTAAGTCATTTGTTCCTCATCGAAGATGAAGCCTTGCCGGGATATAGCAAGGGAAATGGAACACACATTCGCTCCGAACAACACCACTTGAGAGTCGACTTAAAGAGAGACTGCTTTGTATTTCCACCAAGCGCACCAGCACTGTGACTATATAGGGTAAGTAATTGCGATCACTTTCTAGCCAGGGTCTTGCCCTCTAGAAAACCATGGACATCACCACGGCAGCCAAAACAAAACCAACCAGCCCCACCTGGATCCCGGAAGCACTGTCGCTAGCAAGGGTGACACCAAACTTGGAACAGGTAGCACCATATTCTGAGATGGAAGAAAAAGGGTGGTGAGTCAATGATGCATTACTCGGCCACAGAACTCACGAGCGATAACGGCTTTACCGATGTCACTAGTAATATTCCCTTGGGAAACCACGCAGTTTACGCAGGAGGCGATTGACTGATCCGTCTGATCGTCGCACATGCATTCCGTTGTCGAACAGTTCTGGATGACGCCGTCAGGCAAGATGTATCAGATCGATGCCGAGAAACGCGGCTTACGCTGAGATATGTGATCACAGTTTGAGTGCAGTTCGCGGAACATGCTGATGGGATTGAGGATTGAGGAAGCTCCGTCAGGTTCTTAGTGGATTGGCGAGCGGCTAGGTAGATATGTGGAGACGCCAGGTCATAGAATTGGTGCGAGAGGACTAGATGGGCACTTAAGTACGGGTTGAGAAAACTAGGATAACGACGTACCGCCTGGGAAGGCGAAGACGAGAGCAACAATGAATGAAAATGCCAGCATGATGCAAGGACGAAGGCTTGAAAGAAAGAAATAGACCTCGCAGAGGTAAAGAAAGGAAGAGACGGTGGTGGTGGTGGTAAAAGACAAAGAGCGTGGTGATGGTCGACACGGAGGTATTATCAGCCGCTTGCATCAGTTTAGCCATCAACAGGCTAAAATTATATAGGCTGGACCATTGTAGGAAAAGCGCAGCAGCAGTGAAACAGTGATGGTTACAAAGAAATCAGCCAATATAAGACGTCCGTGGGATTAGAGGATATGGGCCAGAGCAATATTATTGCTGCGGATAATGGGGTCACGAAGAGGCGACAGTCGTTTAGAGAGCAGTTAATCGTGATAGCATCAGCGTCGAGAATCATGAAGATAGTTACCGTGTGAAAATCAAGGAACACGTAGAGTAAAAGCATAAACGTGGTGCGGACTCCAGTTTCAGTGCATGCGCCGAATGTGAGGCTGTTGAATGCCATGTATTGAGACTCTTGAAATTCGAATTTTCAAGTTTCAAAGATAGGAAAGGTTGAGGAACGGAATCATGTGAGAGCCCGGTTCTAACTTTTAGTAAATGAGGTAGATGGCACTGGCCAAAAGGAAGTGGGGAGTGGGCAAGAGTTTTTTTGGAGTGATTTCGACAATTCAAACGACCTATCTCCCCATCGGCGGCCATGTCCGCCTGAAGATTCTGTTCAATGACCAGAAGAATCAAGTCAAACTTTCGGTGACGCACTCAAAGGTAATAAAATTCTCGTGAAAATTATGCATAATCATCCCCAGAGGAACAGAAGTGAGAGAGTGAGGGCCAGAAAGGCAGACGGAGATAAATTTGAGTTTCATACCGGTCCCGTCGGCAGTCGAAATTGCGAAACTTTTAAGCTGCAAAAGCACGCAATCGATCGATCACGTGTTTACTTGTTGAAAGTGACGAGTTCGGTTACTGCTTTCTGTCTCTTCCCATCATTCCTCCAGACCATCAGCATTACCCCTTCATTCACATTCTGACCGTCAAAACCCCAGAGTCACTCTAACTGTCTCCATGGAGGACGAGAGCTATATCCTAGGACAAAGATGAACTGAGCCGAGACATGGCAAACATTTTCAAGAATGCAACGACCAACGAGGATACAGCATCACTAAACTGGAGCTACTAGTTATGGGAGCTCTGCATGCTTGACTGGTCGACTGACTTCTGGCCTCCACTGCCTTGTCTTTTACTGGGTCACTCCACAAACTACAACATAGCTGTCATGGTGCGTAGTGTGCAGATATGATTGATATTTCCCTCTGGTTATTCTGATAGCTTTGCTTTAATCTTACTGATGTAGCATCATGACAAGTAGAGTATTGCGGCGTCAGCTTTCCAGCACCGTCACCATCGTCACCGTCACGCCACCGTTGGTGTGGGACTTCATCGTTGATTTCTTTGAGACAGCTTCGGATCCAGGAAGCAAGTAGCTGATGAATGTACTTTTAGCTTGGTGGACACAGTATGTCTTGCGTCGCTCAGGCTTTGTCTTCTGTACTAATCCTAATATAGGAAGGCATTTCCACGCTCGGCGGAGGAGCCTGAGGTGAAGGGAGCGATGGCCAACTCAGCGCTATGCAATTTGGTCCGGCCTACAGCGGCAGTACCATTTAGATTCAAATAATATACTACGAAATATAAATGCTTTCCTGTGTTCGTTTTACTTCCGACTACTCATTGCAATAAGAAGTGAAAATTAAACCGGAGTTCTCTTGTTGAATCTGCGTGATAGAACATCACAATAGAATGTGCTTGGAGATCATCGCAGAAGAGGGCATTCAGTATAATTACTACAGTACCTTACAGAGATTATTGGACATGACCTGCTGATATAACCTAATTATATTGGGGGTAATAAGCATGGGACATGACTCCATCAAAGACACGACGTTACAACGATTATGTGTATATGTACGTTGTAATTGGGTTGTAATCGGTTACACGGATTTAGTGATTTGAAACCCTAACCAGATGGTGACGGAGTTTGAAATATCAATTTTGGGAATTAATCACGCTGACGACATCTGTCACATCACGTTCTCATCATCCTAGACCTAAACCGCCATCCTCCTTATAACGCGTCGAGGGCGACGGCGAGCACCCCTTAGGACGACGACGACGACTACTGCAGAAAACTAACCAAACTTTATTTAAAAACAGCGGCGCCCTTCAAGCTTCAGTATGGCTGGAAAACCCAACAAACTCGCCTTTCTGTCTATGCCTGCACCGGCATCGTATGTCGCTGGTCTAGGGCGAGGGTACGTCTGCATTATCTTCGAAATTTATGTATTAAATTTTCTCTCAGTGCTTCTGGGTTTACGACACGATCTGATATTGGTCCAGCACGAGAGGGGCCCAGTGCTGAGGTTATTGCGTACGTCGAGTTGATTTTATCTTGAATGTTACTCATTATTTTTTAGTGAAGCCCAAGCTCGACGCGGCGAAGAGGCAGAGGTAGATCCTGATCAATTCCAGGATCCTGACAATGAATACGGTCTCTTTGCCGGCACCACATACGAGGCAGATGACGAGGAAGCGGATCGGATCTATGAAAAGGTGGACGAAGCTATGGACGCGAGGAGAAAAGCGCGGAGGTACGGAACTCTACTTCATTAGTATTCGCCTGATTCTGACTTACTGTTCAGGGAAGCACAAGAGCAACTTGAAATGGCGAAGCACCGGGCGGAGCGTCCAAAAATTCAAGCACAATTTGCTGATTTGAAACGAGGACTGACGGCGGTTACTGATGCCGAGTGGGAAGGTATACCGGAAGTTGGCAACTTGACGCGCAAGAAACGGAAAACCGAGGGGAGAACCTACGTCGTTCCGGATAGCATATTGGTGGGAGATAGAGAGAGAGGTGGCATAGGGAATGTCGTTCAAGACGGACAGGAAACACCCGCGAATACTGGTACTCTGACAAATTTTGTGGAAATTGGTCAGGCAAGAGACAAAATATTATCCTTAAAACTGGATCAGGTTTGTCTTTTTTTGTATTTTAATTTTACACAAGAATGATCTTCATATTTTCATACAGATATCCGGTACTGCTACTTCTCATGGTGCCTCTGGAACGTCCACTTCCATCGACCCTAAAGGGTACCTCACCTCTCTTGACAGCGTTCAACTGAAATCTTCTGCCGAAATCGGTGACATCAAGCGCGCGCGCATGCTCTTCGATTCCCTGGTAAAGTCAAATCCAAAGCATGCTCCTGGGTGGATCGCTGCAGCATGTTTAGAAGAGCATGCTGGTCGTATGGTCGCCGCAAGGAAGCTCATTCGTGAAGGATGCGAACGATGCCCCGCTAGTGAGGATGTGTGGTTGGAGGCGGCGAGGTTACATGTAAGCGAACATTTTATATTTGGTGTCATATCTAATCAGCTTTTCTAGAGCAATGACGACGCCAAGGTGATACTAGCCAATGCCGTGCAACATGTCGGTCAGAGCGTCAAGATTTGGCTCGCTGCGGCGGATTTAGAAGGAGATGTTAAAGCGAAGAAGAGGGTGCTGAGAAAAGG